GGAACGAAATAAGAATAGCTTCCTTGCGCGCTTTCACGGGAAATGAAATTAAAGTTGTTACTGATGCTTAAGTAAAATTCATAGATATTCAATTTAAGAGGGAATGGATGGTTTCGGTTTGCCAATTTTCACGTTTAAGTGCATTGGCATGTTTGTGTATGTAGCTAGGCCTTGTATTTGGAAAACTAAATTATTCCATTTTTCCTAATAGTTCCAACTTTATATGTATGGGAAGCATCAAGAATAGACCGTTTATTTTTCTTAATTATGTGCAAAAATAAAGTAGTTGTAAGAAAGCCTTCTAGCTATGAAGATACCTGCAAAATGGCATGAGATGAAAGCTTTGCACGTTTCAGTAGAACCGGACAAGAACTTGTCGAGGATCGCACCAAACAAAAGGCCCCTGTTAAGCCAATGATACAGAATTCCATCTACGATTGTGATAATCACATTATTTCACTCGAAATGAAAGACCGGTTAACCAGAATATATTCTGTAAACCTTTTACTAAACTACGGCTCAAAAGTATTGTCCGCCCAATAATTAAGCCTGCAAATAGTCTGGAGCCAGTATCGAAGTCGAAGTAATTTGGCAAGAATTTAAATCAAAGAAATTAAATGGACTAAGCAATCCTTATGAGCCTGGTTTTTGTTCATGTTTACGAAAGCCCCGCACATTTTCACCATTACTGAATAATATTGTCTCAATAACTGCGACAAACTGGATACGTGAGTAAAACAAAGCGATAAAGAGTCAATGGAGAGTCGCCGATGCCATATGGTGAGATCGACCTTCTGATCCCTTCCTCACATACATTTACTCGAATTGAAGTGCCCTTGCATCGTTGGCCTGATTTTCATCAACATCCTCTACCCTAGGCAACCCCAACTAAAGTGGGTATCAAGACAATCGTAATGTTTGATTTGCATTTAAGCATTTCCTCCAATCAAATATCGTCTAATTACAATACAAGTAAGTACTCATTTTGAGTTGGCTTCGGTACTACCAGTAGCTCGTGAATGAGAACTTTGATCAAACTTGGTTGCATAAGAGGATGACGAATGATGGCGATACCATTGAAGCTCACTAAGCCGACTGAATTGGACTGCGATTTCGACCTCTCCTCGCCGTCGCTGAGCATCATCCACAAGATTCAAAACCGGGCTGTTAGCATCGTTACGGTAGTCTACCATTCCAAAACACAGCCCCCGTTTCCAGTGGGTGTCAGATGAGATATAAAATTCATATAAAGGAAGGCAAATCCAGTTTTTTCGCGAGGTTTCCGATGAAGCAAACGCATATTTGTCAATGAAATTAACAACATCCATTTTTTCTGTGTTAATCAGTTACGAGGCCATCAGTCCATAAATCAGCTTATTCTAAATAGAGTGGTTAAGCTCTTATCCAAGATTTGCTAAACGTTTCGAGCATACTAGTACCAAATCTATGAAATGTTAAGACCTTGAAGCTTAGCATCGTTATCGTCATTGGCTCATATTGTGATAGCGTCATCTTGTGCTCATATAAAGTGGTTTTTAAGTGTCATCTTTCAAGTGGCTCTTCTGTGTCTGTCTCTGCACATCATCCCGTCCCTAGTACCCGATTTCACATCTTTCACTGGCATTGATACTTAATTGTTACCACCTGATACATTTGCTACTTAAAATTTCATCACTTGGCTAGCATTGCCTAGGGATATCGGCATTTGACTTATCTTTGGTGGATATCAGCACCTGGGCATCCAGCTAGCAAAAAATGTTCAATTAAACTTCTTTGTTTTGGCTATCTCATAGTCAAATAAGAAAATCAAGAGCAAACATTTGATAAAAGTGACGGTGATTAAATTGCATCTCATAATCTAAGGTATAAAGACTAAGGCGGTATGACCTCTATTATGGTAGAAGTCTCCATTAGCTTTATCTAAATAGTCTGATCTCATTTTCGCCACTTTTTCATGTTGTCAAGCTTACATTCTCCAGGGTATCCTGTCAAGGTAGTTATGATGAATTCCAACATTGAACCGTGGACTCGGTACATCCTTAGAGGTTTTGCCGGCATCGCAGGCGGCATTACTTGTGAGCCTTGCCATTATTATCACAAACCAGACATAATCTGATCACTTTCGGCACAAAAATTGTAGCTTGATGCTAAGAATAGCAAGGCTACGTGAAGATGCCCGTAAAACATCTGGAAATGTGCCAAGTCCACGGCTCGACGGTGAAAATTACCGTGACATTTATGGCAGAAGGGATGGCAAAAGTTATATTCTTCAAGGTCTTTCTGATAGCACTAACAAGATAAGAAAACGAGTTCTTACTAATTATAGCTCTGATGACTTTCGCAAATTAAGAGATTTATTTCCCAACAAAGTTTAGTATAATGGCATTTGGTGACATTTGAACCGTTATGAAAAGGGTCTGTGTCTTTTCTAACGCAATTCGAGCAGTATAAAGGGGATTGAAGCTTTGAGATTTCTTTGATTGAATAGTGAAACCCTTCTCAAACTCAGATTTTAAAAAGCAATTAAATTTTAAAGTAGCTTTTACCTTCAGTTAGGGATACTGACACATTACTAAGCGACACTAATTTTGTATAGTCTGTACTATAAACTTTGTTTCAAGGAAATATATTTTTCTCTTATTTGCTTTTTGGCTAAAAGATAAAGTGAAAGAGATTCGCAGATTAATCTTGCTCCAAAAACTTGAAGAATTCCATGAGTCTATTCAGTTTATTTTTCGTATATAAGTAGAGTTTATTATTCTTGATCCCGAATGCATAAAAGAGAGAGAATGAATGAGGTTTAGCATTTCCTTTAATCCCCAGCCCATAACTATAAAATCGCATTTCATAATAACATATTATCCTGACTGGAATCCATTACTTCCTGTGATAATACGCCTAGTGATTAGTCTATGCAAGCTGGGGTTGAGGGCTCGTGTGTGTATATTACCTACAAAATCATGAGTATATCCACAAAAGCCAGACATCTGGAAGGATCTTACAATGACATCAATTTCTTTGCATCTCTTTCCGATGCTGGACGAAACTGGCTGAGGAATGAGCAAGTATATCAAATTAGCTTTCTACATTTTGGATAAGGGTAATCTGAAAATGTGTTATCTCTTCAGATTTGGTTGGTATCTGCCTAGAAGAAGGCTTCCTTATCCACTTGCAGAGGCTAAAGTCTTCATGAACTTTTACCCGAGCTAAATGAGGATGAACAATGACCTTTTGCTCAGTTGCTGTTTGTTGAAAAGGGATCTGGGTTTACACAGATACGCCAGAATCTAAGAAAACGGAACCCGAGATTGTTTAATTCGTAACGAACAACTTGCACTTTCACTTACTCCTACAGACGCACACATACATACACACAAACACACACTATATGTGATCTGCGAAGCCCTACTCTGACCTTTTCCGTATTAAATTAGGACAGCATTGGGCTATCACATTAAGAGACTATGTAAGGCCCATCTTCCCATACTACCTTGGTCTGATTTGGTAAAAAGCAAGCTATTCATTTATAGATGTCATGTTACCCTACTCGTGGATAATACCCTCCCTGGTGAGACCAAAGTATTAATCCCCTCCACTCGCCTCTTCAAACGAACTGAAAGGTACTCCAACATCAATATATTAAGAGATTCTTCAATAACCAGTTTTCTACATAAACACTCATACAAATATATATTTATATAAAAATATTAAAAATAATGTTATTCCAGTTGAGATAAAGACAGTTAAGCAATACATTCCGCAGTATAACCATGTGACACTGATGAGTATGATAACCATCAGCACTATATTTGCCTATGCAGCCATTAACATGTAACCTTAGGCATTGCTTAAAGTTCTACCAAAATCGCTCCAATTTACAGGGTCAAGTGAATATTTTGACTCATAAAATGCGGTATTATGAATAGGCTGCTGTTGTAGCTGAATGAAATGGCGCCATTGTGAATCTTGGTCGGCAATGAAATGTGAACAAATTTGCTCGGTGGTCTGGCAGGACAAAATAGTTCGTGAGTGTTTCGAAATTTTTAAATAAGTAATTAACAACCCTATGTCGCTTAAAGAGGTTTAAAGACTAATCTTATTGATATTAATTACTGATAGTTTTGAAACGTACTCAAGGTGAATATAAGCAATGCTGTCTAGTGTAATGGAAAATGCATGTCTAATTCATCGTTGCTTCAACTATAACTTTGATGCAAGCAGGGTCCTGTCTGCCAGGACATTGACCAATTGGTTCTTTGGGCTGTGACGCAGTGGTAAAGTGTTGCCATGATGTACACGACACAATTACGAATCCCATTGGATTTGGCGTAACCATCATTTAAGCGGTTGAAACAGTGTTTAATTCGAGAGGATAAAGTTTTTTGGGAAGCAAGGCTAAACGAAATTAAATGGCATCACAAAATCTATTTTTAATAATTGTGGGTAAGACGTTAATATTAGACGTTAAAAGACTTAAGCTAATTATGAGTGAGTCGGTGCCTATGGTTGCTGTTAGAAAATCGGCCGAATTCGGTAACTATGCTTATTGTACCAGATAGATTCTATTTGATAAAATCGTAGACATGTAGCAAAGTACATTCATTCTCAGGCGGAAAAGCAGCTTTGGGCCAAAGTTCACGATGACACTGGTTGTCACTTCATATTGGACGGTTGAATTATCATCAATTTGCATTTTTACCGATCTTAAGTCGATCCGTAATAATTGGGGCTCTGTTAACTATGAACAAGGATTGGTATGCTGGTAATAACTGAGGCAATGTATCTAAGGTATGTATATAAACAAATTTTAGAAGCATGGCTGCCTCAGCGAGACGAAGTCAATTTCTAAAGCCAAAATTTATGCCAAGACGGTCTAATATCTGCTGCTCTTTTGTCGGTTTGTCAGCCTATAGATCGGGCAAGGGGGGTAAACCAAGTAAAATAACCAATAACCTGGTCTTAATGCAGTCCATAGAGTACCTACAGTACCACAGTAATGTTTATTGTTGGACTTGGGCTAAGATGTGCCAATCTGGGAAAAAAGGGTCAACGCCAACTTTGTGTTCCGGTACTTTTGGCCGATCTGGGTCTGAGGCTCGTACCCACGCATGCAAATTGGCTCTCTGACATGTTAAAAAAAAGTTGGTATCAAAAAATCTAGGCCCATGGCAACAGTTACTAGGGTCGCCGTTATTATATAATGACGTGAGGCAACTTCTGTTGACGCAATTCGGAGGAGGATAGGAGCTTTTGGCCTTCTGCCCCTCCAGACAACTCGGGAACTCATGGATGGGCCTTGCAGACTGATACCGAGCCCGAGAAATAACGGCTTCTGAGGCAGTCTCCGATGGGGGGTTGGCCAAGAATGGAGGTTAGAAGTGACAGGGGGCAAATATGTCTTTACTCTTACCAGCACCTCGTGATGACCATCTTCCACGTGTCGTCCGACTCATGATACTGTGGCCACTAATTGTCGTTTGAAGAGGAAATAGTTGTCCAAGCGCACAGAAACACTCGTTGAAGTATGATCACTTGAGAAGTTCGGCTTGTCTATGATCCTGTGAAATAGGAAGAAGTTTTATCAGAAATATCCGATCAGTTGCGGTCAGTTGCCAGAGTTCGAGGCTGTGAATAAGCAGAATTGCCTCAAGAGGGCATTCACAAGTGTGCAGACGAATGAGTTTTACGGGCACTTTGACTCCTGGTATGACCTAACGTCGGATTTCACACTTAAGGTTTCCTCGCTTCGCTTCGCGGAGCAAGCGTTGCCTGATCACACTCACTAGACACGACAGGGCAGATGTGTCCCGACAATGACTGAGTCTTGCTGAAGTGGCCGTCGCCAAAACGCCATCAGAGCACATGCAACCCGGAGATTAGGTGCAAACACTGCCTGAAGAGGGTGTATTCATTCAGTATGTGAATGTGGAAGTCTGAAAGGATGTGATCTCGCCTCGACCGGCCAAACAGAGGCGACGGATGGATGCAAGTATTCGCTTCCAGAACTGTCCGTCCTCTGCCCGTCCAGTCTGGCTGGCTGGACGGAGGGCTTGCTCGCCACCTGAAACAATGGACCAATGAGAGGAGGAGGGTGACGCAGGTCTTGAATGTATGTCTATTTGCACAATTGTGTGTTTGTGTCTGTTTCTGTATGTCTGTGCGTCTGTAACGACGTGGAGTAGTAGAAAACTCCGCCCACAGATGAGTGCGTCAACACAGACAGACCGGAATATGTGCTTGCGTGTGTCACTTCCTCCTCTTTCGGAGGAGGGTCTGTGAATTACGCTAATCTTGGCTGTGATTGCATCAAAGAGAGACGCCTCTTTTGCGACAGGCTGCAGTGCATGTCTGCAAAAATGCTGGAAATCTGAGGCCCAGTACTTCCATACATGCAAGGTACAAGGTTGACCACGACCAGCCGAGGTATAGTTACATAATAGATATGAAGAAAAGCTGGGTTTTAAAGAGCTACTTATTAAATTTAAACAGCTACAGGTCTTCGCAATACCATCATAAGATCAGCATTCGTTGCTGTGCGTTGCCGCATCTTTGAGCCTACTTTAAAATGAGGATGGTCTCACTGTAATCCAAATGATGATTGCTTTGCAGGTCAATATTTGTTGTCTTGGCGGCTGGTGACATTTTGTGAAAATATTAGTAAAAATTGAGACACTTTTGCAAACATTTCAGTTTCATTAAAACTTCATTTATCTTAACTCAGTGGGTCTCACAAGGTATCAATGAATTTCGAGGCAAGCCATGCCTCCCCCGAACCGCATTTACGTATATTCGGTGTGAGTATGTTTTGAAGACGTCAGTACTTCTTGAGTAAGACCTTAAGCTTACCTGGGTCATTTAGTAAGAGCAATTTCGCTATGATTTCTGACCTTACCTGAGCAGCCTAGGGTAACTCAAGTGTATATTCAATAATTGATGCTGATTTACCTTTCATTTCGCTTTAAATTGCTGGGGGAAGGGATTTGTAAGTTGGTCGCATTGGGCATTGAGAGAGACTGATGAATTATGCGAGGAAGCCCTATGAATCTATATTATGCTTTCGAGACCATCATATGGCAGGCAACTTTAGAGCAAGAAACCATCAGTCACTAATAGATACCAAAAAATACTAAGCCAAGATAGATGGCCAATTTAAATCATGATTACTTTGCCAATTTTGCGCTCCTAATGCATTGGTCTCCTGGCTCATGTCTATCGCACATAAGTTCAGGCGACTAAAAATGATGAGTAAAAAGCGAAGCGGGTGTGATGATAGCTGTTTTCTTAAATAATTAAGCTCGCTTATAAATGCGAACTAAGTCAGCCTTTTCGAGACTATCAGTACTTTTTGTAAATGAACTTTATATCAAAAACTGCTTATACAGAAATTGAGAAACTTTGCCGATTCTAATTGCCTAATGGACAATTTCACTATAAAATGTTGGTTCAGAGGGGCCAGGCTTGGAGTAAAAACATTACCACGACACTCACGACCCAATATCGAGTCCATCTGAGGGTGAGGTCGAATCTGCTATCCAGTTCGGCCTGGATGAGATAGCATTTTTGAGGCGAGGATAAGTTAAATTCATTGGTATTCTGAGGCCTACTCAAGTTGATGTGG